TGTTAGAGCTAATAAATGATCGCAATCTTTTCAATAGGAGGCCTTTATGCAGAGATAAATCTGAAGGAACTTCCTTATAGTTTGTTGCATTTCTTTTAACTTTTTGTACCCTTACCATTTTTCCAACCTACATAAAAAAATCAAATAAAAAAATATGACAAAATGTAAAAGCTAGGAATTTCTTCTAACTTTACAATCTATTTTTTTCATTTTCTAAAAAAAAGGACAAACAAATGTTTTTTTTCCCTGAAAAATAGTATTTTCACAAATGTTGCCTCTGCCAGAAGCATGCAGACATAAGTGGTGAAAATATCTGTTTCAAAAAAACAAAATTAAAAAAAATCACCTAAGTCTACGATTTATACTTGTTTATGAATAACATAAACATAAAGCATACAAAATCAGAAGTGGATCCGCTATTCCATCTCCTCTGTTAATCTTAATCCAATCACACGCATGTTTCGCATCCAAACTCAACTGCAGTGCATAAATTCACAATCACCATCATGCACATGCAATTTACTAAACATGTAAAAATACAAAAAACATAAGATCACATACACGAGTTCTTTCTCCGTTTATTGTGAAAAATTCTAATGTCACAATAAAGAAAAACTCACAACTAAGGAGTCTAGAGAGCTTAAAACCCTATCTTCGCCACAAGTGTTGCCAGTTGCAACACACAAGGAATGTCATATAAACTTTCATACAACCCTATTTCAACAGACTGCGTCAATATACTTATCAATAAATATATTTGGATCAAAATATCTAATCTAACTAATATATCTCTTAAATAGAATAAAGTGATACTTCCAAAAATGAGTAATCACTAATGAAGTAATAAATAATACAAATTTATCTTGCATTTGAAGAAAAACTGAAAAAGGAACAAGCAATCCAAACAGGACATTCTAGACACATTATCGATTTGTCCATTTGGGCAAGTGGTCCCTTGAAATAGCATTCCAGACACTCATTTTGAATAAAAAAATAACTCAAATTTAGAAATTGTAGTGTTGCGAATAGTAATGGCTACCTTATTCATTTTCCTACATAACTTGGGTAATAAACTGGAAAAATTAGGTTCAAAACTCAAAATCCTTGTCTAGAATCCAATAAACTTATCTAAAATGGATGGGTTTTTTCATATCATCGTAACTTTGTGTCCACCTTTTGCTAGCCTTATAGATATGATGACAAAGTGGTACTGTGGTTGAATTGTATGCTCTTAAATATAATCCAATGATTCCAATCTATCACAAGAAAACTAAATTGGGATTTCATTAAGCGCTATATACTCCCTCCGTCCCAAAATTATAGTTCATCTTTCCTTTTTCGTTTGTCCCAAAATAATAGTCTACTTCTAAAAATAAATAACATTTTTACCAAAATACCCCCTCATTATTACTTAACCAACTAAGCATTTAATGGAACATTAAATGCAAAGTAATGACAAAACTGTCATTTTATTAAATAAAGTTAGTGGTAATTAATGTTTTTCTTAATATGTATGTTTTTTTCTCTGTGGACAATAATATTGAGACGGAGGGAGTAGTATATAGAGCGGAATTCAGTCCTCAAGATTCTATCTATGCCAGTTCTAGTCCTTCCGTGTAAAGCCTTTACAGAATCAGTCCTTCATCGAAGCCAAGCTTTAAAGCCCAAGTCATAGCAGCCCATTGTCAAATTTATTCAAGTCCATTACAAAATATCACACGGAAAAAAGTTGTGTGCATCTCTCAATTAAATTAAGTTAGAACAGTAATTATAAACCAATTTACTCTGATCACATCCATGATTTAGATCGAATAAAAATATATATTTTTTTGGAAAATGACTACTAGTAAAGTGGCCCATTCGTTGATATGTGTAATAAAGAAAATTGATCTTGCAATAATAAATTTGATGGGAAATGTCGTTATAATAAATGTTGTATCCGTGTTTGTTAACGTGTGAAACTAATAGAGGAATAAAGTTTTCATTGTTTCTTTGCTTTTAGGCTTTTAGGTGTACCCACACCAAAAAGTATTGTCACATTAATGTCGCATCATCTTCACTTCCACATCACATATTTAGAAAATACTCATAACCCGATATCACCACTTATCTATTAATTGTCCAGAGACATATAGGAAGATGAATAAGATTTATGGAAAGTTGTGCATCTACCCACACCACACCAAGTCCCTTCCACTCCCCTAAGGGTGATGTTCACTTTCCTACATGCCCACCACGTCATCACCTCACCCTTGGCGTTGGTGGTATACCAAATAGTCAGTGGTACCAAGTAGTCAATGGTCAGATTGATAGCACTAGTAAAAAAAATCAAAGTGAATATTGTTTATGCCTATTAGGATACAAGTTAAATAAGATCAAACTGTATCATTCTATTTTGATAAGTTTATAAAAGTACAAACAAAAGCATGGGTTAAATGCTTGTCTTTTCTCAAATGAGAGGATAATTTTTGGGAATGGCCCCTTACCATACAATATCATCTTAGGGCGACTAGGAATATTGCTTAAACTCAGATCCATCACATCAACATTGCATAGCCTCCTCAAATTTCGAATACCAAGGCCAATCAAAGTAAAAAATATCCAAGAGACATCTAGCTCGATTGAATTAAAATACGTCCAGGACTTAGCTGGAAAGCTAGTAGCACTCAGTCGATCCATTTCCAAGTCATTAGAGAAATTGCTTCCCCTTCAAAATATTAAAGGGATGCATAAAGGAAAAATCATGCATACACCATTTATAGTTTAATACAATCATCCGTAAAATTATACTCCATCTGTCCCATATTTGTTGTCCACTTTTGACTGTTGAAGTCTTTATTCTTTAACTTTGGCCTTAAATATTTTTATTTTTCATATATAATACTTGATGAAAAATATATGAATTAATTGTGTTTTAAATGTATTTTCATTGTTATAGGTTTCATCAAGTAAAATATAACAAAAATAAATATATTTAAGGTTAAAGTTGAAGAATAAAGACTTCAAGAGTTAAAAGTGGACAATAAATATTGGAGGCAGATAGTATGTATTTTCAAAAAATTAGGTTTATTTGAAAATCTCTTTTTCTTTCACTAATCTTCTATAATTTTGTAATTTAATTACAAGTTCTTTCTATTAAAGAAATTGTCAAAACAAGATAAATTAAACCAACATATGATGTATTCATGTCTAGCAGGTCATAGACATGGGCGAACGAGCTTCCAGCCTTCCACCAACAACGAGATTTTAGAGGTCTTATATGTCATTTGGTAAGAGATCGTCCTATCCGACCTACAACCGTCATCCACGAAGATATGGCTACTCATACGTAGGATCCTGAAGACCCTTGAAAAACAAGTAATGCTTTGCTATCTCTTGTTTTAATAATTCATCGGGTCAATGTGTGTCAGAGACTAATACTTTACATAAAGAATTATCGAACAAGATATAAAATTCATTACTTGTTTTTTTGGTACACAATAATGGATTGTATGCGAAAATATTATGTAATATGTAATGAAAACTTTCTCATAAATAAAAATCGTCTATAATGTGAATCACGATTACATGATGATTGTATTCCTCTCACTAATGTTATTTTATTTTAGTAATAATAATAATAATAATATACCTCAAATAAAAGTTATGTGTACATAATAAATTAATAAGTCACACATGCATATCACAAAATCGAAACAAACATGTAGATCTTAAGAGTATCCTGAAACATTTTATTACAAAAATCTGAAAATAAATAGCTACTTCTTTGACAATGACAACTCGCGTGAAAGATTAACTTTCGACACATAGTTGCCATTGAGCTAATGAGTAAACAATAATTCCTAAATATTTGGCATTTATGCTAGATTCCAACTGTTGGCCAAACTATAGGCAAGAATTGCCCCTACAATTTCTTGTTATCTCTACCATCTGTCTAGATCAACCAACTTTGTAAAAGTTGTATCTTGGCCTTTGCCAAATCCCAACTCATATGTAAGGAATGACCCTGAAATCATATTTTATGCATAACTCCTTCATTATGATTGAGTTTATGCAATACATGAATCAGGCAATGAAGTTTGTGATTCAACATTACAGACCATATGTTACAGTTTAATGAGCTCCGAGTGAAACCTGAAAGTTCAGTGTTTGTCAGACAACTCACTCATCAAAACTGAGTTTCACCTGCTTGTGAGGAAGTTATTCAGGAAACTATGTTGAGTAGCATTGGCTTCCAAAGGTTCCATGCTCTCTGCTCGATCGAATGGCTTCTCTTATTTTGACAATTCCTCAGTTGATTACTGTAAAAATGTTTATGTGTACGTCACAAGCCATATCAAAAATAATTTTATGACCACTCACTCATATTGGAAATATACAAGGTGTAGACAAACTGTATACAAGGTGTAAACAAACTGATACGTCCTTAGACATATTGAAAAAACCTACAATTTAGATATTTTTATGTCTTAAGAATTTTCTGGTATACTTTTTCCAGAAAAAGTATTCGGAAAACAATAATGGTGTTAAAAAATGTGAGAAAAAATAATTATTAAAAATACTTTATGTCAGAAAAATATATTATTGAAATCTTTGGTGAATTCAAAAACCATGAGACAAGTTCGAAAATTTTGATGAAGTTATTTTCGAAATAATTTTACGTCGTAAAATCATATTTCGAAACCAAAACCATTTCAACAACTTATTTCCAGAACCATATTTGAATTTTACAGGACGACATATTCGTTAAAGTTCATATCCGAAATAGTGAAATACCTTTTTGTCGTAAATCACTTTTCAAAAATGTGCATTTCGAAATCCATGGTTATATTTCGATAGTTTCGTTAAAGGTGGTTATAGTGTGAGATATGTTTTGTTTTTTCGGACATTGAATCAAAATATCTCAAAGCTAAAAGTTTTGACGAACATTTTTTTTTTAACTCAATTTTTTTTTTCTTTCTAAAATCCAAAAACTAAAAGCAAAAGGCACTAATGTGTTTATTTTAGAAGTATCTGTTCTATTGAAAAAGATTTCTTGGACGTGTTGCTCTCGTACCCATTCCCCGTAGCATTTCAACATTACCCTGCTAACCATCGATCTTGCTTTCCAAAGGATGATCTCTCTCCGTCGATTCATCATACATCCATGAGCTTTTACCGAGTCCGGTGGCTCTTCTAACGCAAGCCGCCTCCTTCCCCCAAGAACAGACATGAAGAAATCATCCAATATCCAAACATTCAATCAACGCCACCACTGCAACTGCAACAGAAGAACATTAATATCCAATCGTAGCACTACTAATCAGTAGTTCACATTAATATCCAATCGTAGAACTACTTATCGGTAGTAGTTCCAGTGAATGGGGAGATGGAGAACCTCCCTTCTTGTCTCAAGATTCGCCACCAATTCATTTTCTCGAAAAGCCCATGTTTTTCGACCTAATTTTGTTTTCCGCCGTCTTGTTAGACCTCTAAATCCCGATCCCGATCCCTCTCTTAATTCTTTAATTCCCTCGAATAGTTATGGTAGCTTTAGGGCCTTCTCTTCTTATCCGACTGTGGCACGCCCCATTTTTGATCTTGGTAGTTATGACGACGAACAGAAATATTCAGAAGAATTATTTTTGCACGATGAAGATGATGATGAGCTCAGAAAAATCTCCGTCAGAGCTATCTTTCTCTGCACCAGGTTCCTTTTTCTTCATCATGTCTATGATGCAGTTGTTGTTTTAAGGCTATTGATTACCATGCCTGTGTAGTGTTTGTTGAAATGCCAATGAATCCTAACGCAAACAGGCGATCATTTGAAAACTTGTATGCCATGCTTTTGGGATCCTAATCCCTATTCTCATATTTGCTTTTTGTTGTTTTCTTCTTTATGCTTTGGTTTCTCAGAGTCGGATATATGGTTTTGGCAGTGTTGATTTGAAGAGCTTGCAAGTTGAGATATCAAGCCATTTTGTTCCTCCTACTTCACGCTCAACAAACCATATCGCTCTCAGATTTTCCAATTTCAGTTCAGATCATATGGTTTGGGTTTTGTCACACTTTTTCATTCTAGAACAAACCATATCTCTTACAAAAGCCTAATTTAGAAAAGGTTTTTACTTCAGGACATCGATGTTGAAGAAAACCCTAGCTCCCATAGTTATATGGTCGTGTTCCAATACGGATCTGCTGTATTGTTTAATGTTGAAGATCATGAGGTCGAGTCTTACCTTGACATTATAAGAAGACATGCTTCTGGATTGCTTCAAGAAACAAGAAAAGATGGTTAGTTAACTTGACTTTAACATCTTTTTTTTTTCAAACACTTTGGTCCATAATACCCCTGCCTTAATAAAGCATGTGTGATTATGTAAACAGATTATGTGGTGAAGGAGAAGCCATTGTTGATGGAGGATATGCAGGGAGGTCCTGATTACATTGTTCTGAGAAACTTTGATATTGACAGTATACGTACTATTAGTAGTGTTCTTGGCCAAAGTATTGCATTGGATTATTTTGTTTCACAGGTATCAAATCTAACAATCACTTTTTTTCTATTTAGGTGTGAATATGAAATTATGCACTTTATCTTACAATTTTACATGTTATGTTTTTAAAAAGGTTGATGGCATGATTGAAGAATTTACATATATTAATCGGGTAATGGAGAAAACGGGCACATTTACCATGGATAGGAAGAAGCTCTTCCAACTTGTTGGAAAGGCTAATTCAAATCTAGCTGATGTAATTCTTAGAGTAGGAATTTTCGACAGGTAAATTGCAATTTTCCATGAGGGTATTTTTGTCTTTTGTGCAACCTGTTTTGTTTTGTGCTGTCCAATTCTAGATTATACAAATGGCTAGGAAGTTAAAAAATGGAAAGTGATGTAAAATGAATGGATTTGTTGTTATTTTTCAGATCAGAGATTGCTTGGAGAGAGGCAAAGTATGCTCAAATATACGAGTACCTTCGTGAGGAATATGAAGTAACACAACGGTTTGGAAATCTTGATTATAAATTGAAGTTTGTTGAGGTAACTTTTCACATCAGAATTTGTTTTATTAAATCTTGAATATGAATCTTATTTTTCTTGTTTGCTTGTTTTGCAGCATAATATTCATTTTCTACAAGAAGCACTGCAAAACCGCAAGTCGGATCTTTTGGAATGGTGCATCATTGTGTTGTTGAGCATAGAGAACTTTATAGGAATATATGAAATCATCCGGGAAACAAACATAGTCCCAATATGATGGAGTTATATATATTGATAAAGATTTATTTATTTTACAGGTTTTGTTTTTGTGGTTAGAACATAGGAAAGTAGGAAAGTATTGATTTAAAACCCAAAGAATGTCTATATTTTGCTCATTTAGAATTGCAAATGTTTGACAAAACTGATACAATATGTTGTTATATTTCCCTATCCCAAATGACAACATACTTGCATTATTTACCCATGATAATGATAACTATGTATTTATATTTCTTTACTAATAATAATATCAATATGTATAAAATGAAACTTGTAAGAAGCAACACAAATCCAAACAGAAAGTAGAAAATTTAAGGTCAAATTGATCCAGTTTTCAAAATTCTTGACATCGAATGGCAACGCTAGGAATTTCATAAGCATCTTTAGGCTTAGATCTTTTAACTCCTGCAGTAAACCAGACCTTATCTGATCGATAACCTTCAACTGCAATATTTGTGATTTTGACCCATACCAACACCTTCGTTTTCATTCCTTCAATGTTACTCAACTTTCCCCTCAACAAAATGGCTTTCACTCGAGTGGCGTACCTTATGACAGATGAGTCCTTGAAGCTTACCTCACAAGCTGAGGGCAAATGCACCACTAGTTTTCCCTTTGATTCATCAAATTCATAAGATACTATGTTGTCAGGGAAAAGACCCGGTGGTAAGTTGAACTCACGGAGGAGCTCCGGCAAGGACTTCTCCGGTTTTCCTGTGATTTAACATGAATAATCTCGTCAATGGTGTTAATCGCGAATAATACTGATAATCTGAATCTGGATTTTGATTTTGACTTTGTACCTTTGAGCTTGTTAAAAATCCATTTTGCCTTCTCTTCAACAGTACTTGATAAAGTCTGCGAGATTTAAACATTGTAGCTCTAGGTTAACAACAAAACCTGATAATCGAGCTACATTTTAACGATAATCGATAATCAGACATAAAATTAAGAGAAAACAGGGAAAATCAAACATACAGTTAGGTCATCGGAGATGTTGGACAACTCCTGTTTAGCTTTTTTTGAAATCCAATAGCTTCCTGCTTTAGCTTTGATGCTTCCGACTTTCACCAATGCTTTCTCCATTTCCGCCCTATGCTCTTGCACACCTTCGCACAATCACTATACGTAAAATTGTGTAAAATTTCTGTTAAGAAGATGGGGTTTCTGCGTCCTGCAAGTGGGTAGATAGAAAGGGTAAATGAGGGGAAGTGTGAAGACAAACATACCGATTTGATGCGAGTGACATGCAGCTGTACTTCAAATGAGTGGGGAGAATTTGAGCTCACTGTTCTCGAGAGTGTAGTTTAACAAAACGGGTGAGGTTGTTTTGGTAATTTTGGCTTGGAACCGCCGCTTTGTTCTGTAGGTTTGTTTGGATTCAGATCAAATGTTCAATGGTGTTTCTTTATTTAAAAGGATTTTTTTTTTCATAAAGCGATTGTAGGGCAACTAAGGGAATAGTACAGGGGCCATAAGTGTAATTTTTTTTTTTTTTTTTTTTTTTTAACAATATGCGACGCAAACCCATACTTGCAGCTTCTGGTTTGCCTTCTTTGCCTCCATATGCAATCGCGTTTTGCGCAATACATACGTACACTATCTTAACCCTAGAGTATCTAAGCCGCCAAGAGAGAGAAAGTGAAGAGGAGCGGGAGATCGGAGAGACGGGAGTGTGCGATGCCGAGAAGAAAGAAAAGGGGAAAACTTGTTCTTGCTGATGTACGATCAACCTACAGGTTAGTTTCATCGGAGTTTCTAACTTATCTAGGGATTGTCCTTGATGTATTTTCATGGGAATTTCCAAATTAAGTTGAATGATAACCAACAAAACCTAATTAATCACATAAATTGATAAAAGATGTTGTTGAATGGTAAGGATGTATATAAACATCACCATTGTTGGTGATGATTATGAGTATGGTATGGAATGATATCTTGAAGGCTTTTAGACCATGAAGTAGGTTAGGGAGTAAATAGTAAGACCTATGTTTACTTATAGGTGAATAGTAGGCGCACAAGTCATGTGCTATATATTTACCAAAACTAGAGGTGAGTACATACCAAAATACATGTCCATATTTTCTTTATGATTTTTAAATGTTGTGTTCCTTATGTATTACATGTAATACATTGTGTTCCTTATGTACTACATGTAAATATGTAATACTATATGTATTGGCTTTGCATTGCATGAAAAGTATATATATTTTTGAAAAATGTGTTATGATAAAAAGGGACAACTATAATTTCTTTTGCACCTGATTTTCACTTATAAACTTGTGTGCATCTAGGATGTGTTTATGACCTGAGGGATCATTAACGACGATCACAAGAACCAATAAAGAAAATGATGTTGTGGCTGTGTTCTAGATGTCCTCCACTTGTATATGAGGCTAGCTACCTTGTATGTGGATCTTGTGTAATGGTTGGGCACATTATCCTAGTTATAACGGTCCACTTATGTGATGTTTGGCAACATGCCTTCATTACGAGTGATGTTTGACAAATGTGACATCAATGTTTGGACAAATTCTCCTTTCATTGATCTGCATGTGAGGTTGGAGTTGAGATAATCTGGGTTGAGATTTAGAAGCATAAGCATTGCACTTATTATATGACGTGTTGGTGTTTTAATCATGTTTTACAAATGAAAAATAATGATTCCCTCTTCATGAGGAATGACAATTTCTCTTTAATGATGAATGACAAATACCCTTAACCAACAAATGATGACATACGACGAACCACCGATGATGACTATGACGTTGTGCAAAATGCTACTTTTTCTCTTGTTTTTCCCTATTATGAGAATAATATCTATATGACGATTTCTAAATATTTCATCTATAATATCTAAGTGGCATCTTCAACTTTAAAGATGTTGACCTATCGTTATTACTCGCTAGAATTTTCAAGCTTAAATTATGTATTTTGATATGTATTCATGATCATTTGAGGATGAGGATGAAGGATGATACTTGGACATTTAGAATGTCATGTAGTGGCTTGCTTTTAAATTTATGTTTGGCCTTTAGATTGTTACACTCTTTACCTTTAAAAAATTTACTTTAAACTTTGACGTTGGTTGGGACCTATTTCCCATAACCATGGTTTTGATTATTAAAAAAAATGATTTTAAGTTGGTTAAAACATTCGGCTTACGGGTGTTTTAATATATGATTAATTAATTTTAAAATAACTTATTTGGACATTTTTTTATATAAAAATTGTCACCATCGTTATTCACACAATAACTTTTTATCAAAGCAAACATATTATTTTTGTCGATTTTATGTTATTGATGACTATTATTAGTTTTAACTAATTAGAAATTTCTTGTTGAAACAATTTAATTATAAAAAAGATTTTTTTTTTTTTTTTGTTTTTTTGTTTTTTTGACATTCTGGTTTAGATTTTGCATTCAAGTGAAACAATCATGTAGGATCTATATTTAAAGCAAGATTTATACTTAGATACTAGGATCTTAAGATCTTAACCTAATCCAATCATACCTCTTTAATGTTTATTATATAGACGAACTTCAAAAAGTCGTCCATGCAACTTGAAATTAAGCATCACATATTGTTAAAGGTAAAAGGTATCATTGAGTATTATCACTTCATCAATTAAGTCTATTCATCTTGAATTATTCTTTATATGGTCTTATTTAGTTGTATGTGATCAAGACTGTCGTGTTTCTTTTTATGCTTTTGATAATTCTTCATATTTTTTGCAATTTGTAGCAACAACAGTTATGTTTAATGCTTTAAAAGTTAAATCTAATGTTATGGTTACGATCTTACAAAACGTAAAACGATCTAAGATGAAATTTCAATTTTAACAACTTTAGTCGGAAAGAAAGTAGCTATACACCGTCTTGTTCCCTTTTTTTAGCTGGTAAAGTGGTAATGCTAATTTCTTCCCAGATTTCTTCGACTCACAATACCCACAAATCCAATCCCCGTGAGGAACTATCTCAAAGCCGGTTTCAAAATGGTGGACCGATGGATGTAGTAGTCAGTTATTTGAAATTAAAAAAACTAGAATTGGTTCTTGCTTAAAAAAATACAGTGATTGTCAGTATCACTCATATATGAAATTACGTTATTGCCCTCTAGAACCTTCTAGCCCAAATCCCTAAATCTAATTAGTAATCTCACACTCTCCTCTCCCCTTGGCTTGGCTCCCCGATTCAGTTCTTTCTTCTTCGCACATCGTAGCTGTCCGACCGTCGCGTCGACTGCTGCCTCTCTTCCGTTCATCCTTCTCATTGACTCTGTGCAGGTAATATCCTCGATCCTCCCTAAATCCCTTACTCGGTTCCTCCTTCTCCACTCTTTTGTGAACTTAGCCGATCATGATTTTGTTTCAGAACTTCTAAATCTTCCAGTGGATTTTGTTTCAGAGCTAAAATTATTGTTCATTACGCATTACAGAACATCCCTGTATCACACTCTCATACACATTTAACACAGATACACCTCTACTGCTCTTTTAAAAGGATTTTGTCAACCAAATGGTTAAATGTCATATGATTTTACGTAGAAAATAAGCATACATTGTATAATGAATTTATTGATCAAAGTTAGAGACGAAAACTACATTCTGTTGTGGTCTACTGATGATAGAATTATGATAACTTGGCGATGAAAACTACAAATGGCTTTATTTCAGTTTTTGTTTCGAAACCAAGTATGCTGATTATTTGACAATGGCTTTTCTGTTTCTGTTTGAATTTTATGTTTTTGGTGCTAATTTGGTTTCATTTGGAGTTTGTGCTAAAGTTATTATAATATTGTGATGGACATAGTTTTCACAGTGTTTTGAAAACGAGTCAACTGGGAACCGGTTGTAAATAAACCAGTAAAAACCTGTAGTTAATTTATATGTATATGTTGAAATGTGTAGCAAAAATGGATGACGAGATGGTTACACTGCATAATGTAATGCCTGTGGATCTTGCTCTAAAAAGAGAAATGGAATATCGACATAAAATGGAGGCCTTGAAAAACCAGCAACTCAATAACTTAAATCCTTTGCTACCTTCCCAATCCCGAGTCACATCTAATTCTTTGCCACCTTCCCAAGTGAGATCTTATAAGCCTAATTTTTTTCATTTTCTTTTATCGATTAACATTTACATACAAAAAAAAAAAAAGGAGTGTGTCACATCAGACACTAACAAGTACAAATATACATATAGGTTCATCCCACGAGTCAAACAATCTTAAAGAGAAAAGAGCCATCTACAAGTGGCATAAAACCGAAAAAACCGACAATCGGACTTGTTTGCAAGATTTGTCAGATAACATTTTGTACAGTTGTTCAATTGAAGGATCATGCGAATAGTGGGAGACACAAAAACAATATACAACAATTGCAGAAAAGGGGGGAAAATGTTGCCACTCCATTTTTATGTGAGATTTGTCATGCATCTTGCTCCAGTGGTATTGTAATGGCAGCTCATCTTAGGGGTACAAAGCATGCTGCTGTTCTTAAGGAAGTTGAGAAAGCTAAAAGGGCTAGACCCAAAGAGGGATTTGCTCCAAGAAGGTATTGAATGTTTGGTGTATTGAACAAGAGTAGAGTGGTTTCTAACTTTCTATATAAATATATACTATATTTTTAGTTATATCATATATGATGTTTAGAAGAATGAAGGTGAATAGTGATAGGGTGGTATTGACTGTGTATAACTTTTTTGAAACGCAATTAAAGAATATGAGAGGAAGATGACTTTGATGTTAGAGGATCTGTAATGGTTAACCTTAGTAACATAATTTTTTATACTAAAAGAGATTCCGGTTATATTTATTAATCATTTTTTAATTTTTAATTAAGTTTATTTATTTATTTAGATTATAGTTTTTTAATTTATAATAATTTTGTTTCAACAATATATTAGTGTTCAGATCACAAGTGAGTAAATGAATCAATTGACATGTTTTTGTAATTCTCTAGTTAATTAAATATAGAACAACCCATTCCTTATTGGATGGAGAAAACCCAATTAAAATGTGGTGTGTATATATATATATATATATATATATATATATATATATATATATATATATATATATATATAGTCCTATAGCTAGCAGCAAGTATAATTTTTTATTTTTCTCCCCTGCAATCTACTAATACGAAAACATAAAAGTGATAAATTATATTATAAGCTTACAATTACAACTACAATTTACACACTAAAGAAATAATCATATAACAATATAATCCTAAATCATCCACTAAATGCATAAAAAAGAAGTTAACAAATTAAGAAATCATCAATCGTTCAAATATATAGCAACAAATGAAAACTCAACAAATTAATACAGGTGATGATTTGAATGATGAACCCTAAAGAATTGAATTAATGATCACTCGGACCATAACAATAACCAAAATGAAATAAAAATAATGAATCAAGATATCACTTAGAAACATTCAAACAGTCATTAATATTTAATAATCCTACGTAATATAGCCCATAACTATATAAGAAATTATGTAAGCCAAATCAATTAGCATTAACAATTAAGTGGTGCAAGACGCAACATTTGACTTTTTTCATGGCCATTATTTCTCATTTTGCCGCCATTCAGTTAATTAGGGCCCTATATATATATAACGACGTATACATGTTTACATCTCCATATTACTTAGCAATCTTGTCGATTATTAATAATAAACAAGATGATGACAAAGCTCCAAAGATTTGGAAGGATTAGGCAATTTCACACAATCATATCTCAAGAAACCATTAAACCATCTTCCCCAACACCTCTACACCTCAAAAGTCAAAACTCATAACTTTTCTTTACTTGATCGAAGTGGTGACATCTCTACTATTTAAACACGCAGTTAGTGCAGCTACAACAAGTTCAGGTTCTTTAAAGCCATCAAACTTGACTATAACAGTGAACATGAGGAACAAATTTGTTGAAAACTATCCTGAAACAGCAGCAGGTAACTTATCTATGTATGGGGTAGCAAAAATGGACGATTCCGGTAAAATCAAATTGGGTGAGGTGATTGCTAGGATAAGGAAAGCAAAAATGGAACTTGAAGGAATAAAAGATTAGCAAGAATTAGTTCAAAAGTTTGCAAACGCAATATCAACCTTACATGGTGATCTGTATTATATTACAAGTGTGTGTAGGGTTCCATTTTATGAAGTGGATTTCGGATGGGGTAAACCAGTAGAAGTAAGAATACGATTTCCAAAGGTGAATAATAATGTTATCGTTTTGATGGATACTGCATCTGGAGATGGTATTATGGCACATGTGCAACTGCCAGAAGAAGAAATGATCATTCTTCAGAAGGACAAAGAGTTTCTTACTTATGTTAAAGACGTTTGAAAATGCATTCGCCGTTTGTCTGTCGTTGTTTGTCATCAATAGATTCAAAACTTACCTTTTCTTTTTGACAAAACTGCACAAATGGTCCCTGTGGTTAGCTCAAAATTGCCATTTTGGTCCAAAAAAGTTTTGACTAGCACCACAGGTCCAAACTTTTCATTTTGTTGCGAGTTTGGTCCAAAATTTTTGAAACATTTTATAATGACGGATTTGCCATTTATTATTTTATTTTATATTTTTCTTTTATTACAGTAATTAGAAAACATTTAAAAATAAAACAAAAATAAAATACTCTCTCTCTCTCTCTCTCTCTCTCGTCAAACCAAAACCAGATCTAAGATATGTTTCTTCTCCGCCTCTTTGCCTCATCTCTCCAACAGTAGTCTTCAGTCACAAGCTCAGGTCAGCTCAGGTCTCCGATGTCCTCAGACGAGCACAGATCTACGTCGGTGAAGTCTGAAAACTTTCTTCAGATATATCAATCTGAAAACCCTCCTCCTCTTCATATCTAAAAACTCATCCCACAGTAGTAGCTCGATTTTCAGAGATGAAGCTCGAAGAAGAAGGAAACATAGGGTATCAACAGATCGAGGAAGGTCGAAAAAAGAAGCGGTGACAGAGATTGTGTTCAAGCATCGATGTAAGGTGTTACCCAGATCTGTTCTTCATGAGATTTTTGTCTGAAACCCTAAACGACGTCTAAAACCCTAGAAACTAGAAGGGTGGCGGCTGAAACCCTAATTTGTGAAGCTCCTCGAATCATCTGACTGTAACAGTGACTTACAAAGAATCGGAATAGATCAAATGAAGAAGGAATAGTGGTTGGAGGAGGCGCTTACGAACGATTTGATGTTTATTGGGGTTTTCAGATCGGACCTACTGAAGGTTGAAGCAACCTTCGATGACGATCAGGTTTTGCACGTCTTCTCCGCCCTAGAGTCGTTCTCCATCTCTCTCTATTATCTTCTTCTCGCCAGACGACCACCATAGAAAAAGAAGGTGCATCTACGCTGAAATAAGGGTTTCTTGGAGGAAGAAGATGACATCCACAAATAGGTTTACAAAGATTGTTCTTGATTTTGAGGTTACAGATAAGGGAAATGTAATGTTTGAGTTTTCAGATCTGGAAAAAATATGTTTGGATTCATCAGATAGTGGTGGTAGTTCTTGAGTTTTAATTTGAAATTATAGATCTGGAATTATATGAGTGTTTTGGTATTCAGATATGGAAAAATTATGTTGTTATTATGTTGGTGGTGACCGGAGGTGGCAGTGGCAGTTGTTGGTGACCAACAGTGGTGGTAGCGGTGGTGGTGGTGACTGACAGTGGTGGTGGTGGTGACTGACAGTGATGGTGGTGGTGATAGCATAACTGGTAGTGGGATGAGAAAGAGTAGGGGGAGGGTGGGGTAGGGATAGGGGTAATATTTTCTTTTTTGTTTTATTTTTAATTACGAAAATTCTGAAATGTTTTTAAATAAATAAAAAAACAACTAAAAAATAAAAAGTAAGGGCAAAATCGTCATTAATAAAAATTTCAAAGTTGGACCAAACTCGAAACAAAATAAAAACTTTGGACCTGTGGTGCTAGTCCAAACATTTTTGAACCAAAGTGAGAATTTTGAGCAAACCACAAGAACCATTTGTGCAGTTTAGTCTTTCTTTTTACATTGTATGAAAAAAATTAGATTTTTTTGAATATTTTAATATTCTATACCGTAAATATTTAAATAGAAGTGTTAAAATATTCTAATAATCTAATAATCTAATAGAATCGTTAGAATATGTTATATATTATTACTATGTTATAACCCGTGAGAACCACGGGTTATAAAATTAATTAAACTTTCATAATAAAAATTTATAATTATTAATCAATTATTTTAAATAAATTATTAATTAAGAGATATATCAAATTTTTAAAGTTATTATAACTTCAAAATTAATATATAATTAGAAAATATAAATTTGAATTTTGAAATAAGTTGCCTAATATATCTACATGACACATGACATAATATTAATGAGAAGTTGTATTAGAGTGACACTTGGCAAAATAAGATTAAAACTATTCATTTATTAGAATAGGATATGTAAAATTTTGTTACATATTTCATATATATTTATAAAAGACGGTAATTTATTTATTTATTTATTTTGGATATAAACCATGGCGAAATTAATACTATCTTTTTTTTATTTTATTTTCATTTATTTTGCATTTTAGAATTTTCTTTTTTTATTTTTGGTCTACAAAATGACGGACTACAATTGCGTCCCCATGTCTCAAAAAAAATACAATGGTTTTAAATGAACCTTTAGGTATATATATATATATATATATATATATATATATATATATATATATATATATATATATATATATATATATATATATATATATATATATATGTCACACCCCCAAACCGGAACGGCGGAAACGTTCGGGGGTGGTTGACGTCATGCGTAGTATCACAACAGTTGTATCATAGCAAGCATAGTAAACACAACCAAACATTGAATACATATCTGAAAAATGTTTACATTGTTTTAATACAAGGTTTTATTCATAACAAAAGTAAAATCGAAAGACGTGACTCTAACGCGCCGACTTCTCCAAAAGCCTGGAAGTACCTGTCTACTAATTCCCTGAGAATACAAACAGTTTTGAAAGAATATCAGCATAAAGCTGGTGAGTTCATAAGCGTTTAGTTTTTGGTGGAAAATGTTTTTTGATCCTTTTGAAAAGTGTTCCTCAAGAAAATCCTATATTTTCTTAATAAAAGCCTATTTGAAAACTCATTCCTTCCATGACTTCTCGGTTCATACTAGATATGCACAATCCAAGGAGTCATGGAATGAATATGAATATCCGTTAGTGGAATAATAAATCATCAGTTTTTAGAATGCCGGTGTTATCCTGTGAAAATCCTATATTTTCCCTAAAAACATGCTATTCGTCCTAGAGGTAGAGATGTAAGTTTAGAAATCCATGATTACTATAAGTATATACGAAAGTAGTTTTATTACTCAAAATAAAACAAATGAAGAATAGAATCCGTAAAACCAAAGTTAGTTTATACTTATTTGCGAGTCGTATAACCATACTTGATATGACCTAGAGACCTTTATAACGTTCTTCAGGCGTTTAAGCTAAATGACATTTGTCCACCACAGGCATGTCTGCCTAACTCTAGCTAGCAGTTCTGGTGTGGGATTGTCAGTCCCGAATAGATCTATTCACAAATCTCACGCTCTCCCTCCAGGAGACTCTGTTTATACTATGATAGGATTTATTTCCGTACACTAAAGGGTACAGTATCGAAGTAGAGCCTCACAATTCTGTATAATCTAGTTTACTAGCGAGAAACAGTATAAAACAATAATTAACCTTGAATAATAGTACTTTATACTCCTGATAAAATATATAACATAAA